GTTTATTTTCAGAACCAGGGCACTATAAAAATAAATCAAGTCTGCTCTGTTTGTGTCCGTAAACGTTGCTCTGGATTCTGTCTGTAGTCTGCTCTGACAAAAGTCTTTGTGCTGTTGAGTGCAAGTGGTGACTGATCTAATGAGAAACAAAGGCGTACTTTCCCTTGCTTGACTTTTTCTGAAAATATTTATGGAATACTTCTGGGAATTATTTTCCACACCTTGGGATTATGAAGAAGTGTTACTCTGAAATACCATGTATGAAAGGTTTTGATTAGAAAGGGTGAAATTGCCTCAAATACACCCAATATAGATATGGTGGAAATTGGCTTGAATTTTCATTGCTAACAGGGAAGTGTGAAGAAGGCAGATGAATGGTGGTACAGCTGTAGACCATTGCTGTTCCTATGCTGATGTAAAACACAGAGAAAACTGGGTTCCTTTTTAAAAAGCCTGTAGAATAGGAACAATTATATCCAGTGAGAATTCTTTTGCTTTAATAGTAACCAACTCTTTTCCCAGCCTTTCAAATGAAGAGAACAGGGTTATGCTGAAGTTCAAATGGAGGTTTTTTGCTTCTTGTCTAAGAACAGAAACAGGCTTGGATTTGAGGGCTCTATGGTATGCTTCTTGTATTTGTGACCTTGTGCTCTGCTGGGAGTCAGACCTCAGAAATGTGGGGCTGAAAAGCTTCCTAGCTGTCTGGGTATGCTGAGGTTAATGACCTTATCCTTTTGCATTTCATGTTCCTTGGAAGTGTTTCCCCAGTGCCTCTTACAGGGCTTATAAACGGGTTACTTAGGGGAGAATATTAGAATTTACTCTGCATATGTTTTGTTTTCCCTCAGTTGGTTCAAGATTCTTCCTAGGTACCATATTAACATGGAGAAGTCCATCCAGGAAAGATGAAGGCTATCCTGGCCACCTTTCACCACTGAACTCAGTGAGTGAGTGTGTTGGCTCTTAGGAGCTGCCCTGCAGTAGTCTGATATTTTGCATCAACTTCCAAGAAGTTTCAGACCTTTAAAGTGAACACAGGTTTTGGGATTTGTTTACTGCTTTTCATAAACAATCCGATGGCCTTGAGGTAGTAGAAGTCGGGCTTCCTCACTTCAACGGCTTTGCAGAAAACTGCTTTGTCCACCAGATGGAGCTGAGACTCTATTTTTCAGGGGAGTCGATGCCCAACCCTTCCATAGCTAATAGTTTCCGCTGACGATACCAACTCTAAATATACTTAAGCTGAAGATCTACTTGCTTTTCAACAAGTTACTCCCTCACCTGAAGCCACAACTTAACACAGTAGGGTTCAGTAGGCAGCTGCCTCAACACTGCCTGGAGCACCAGCAGGGTTCTGTGAGTCTGGTGTTTCCCACTAACTGTGCTGAATTGCACCAAGTAAGTGTCTGATATTTACACAGCTAAAACCCTGAAAAAGATCCAAGAGCTACTTTATCAGGAGAAAGAAACAGCAACTGAACTGAGAGATTGCTATCGTCTAAGAGCTAGTCACAATCTAAGATACTTGGAGTAAAGGTTCTGAGCATCACATTGGAAAGCTTCAGTTCACCACTGTGCTCAGTCACAGCAAGTTGTATTCTGGTGCTTCATTTGACACCAGTCAAACATTTCAATTAGCAAAACAAAGCCACATTTGCCTACCTCCTACACGCTTTCTTGTGTCAGAGTGAATATAGCAAACATGCCTGTGGGCCTCTTCTTTGTGGCACCTGAACGTGATTAAAAATCCATTTCAAATTAAGAACAAACATTAACTTCCTTGCTTCCCCCTCCCTGCTTGCATTCACAGCATAGTTCCTGCTGTTGGTCCCAGCTGCTTCTAACATGGGAACTAGGTCACAATTTACAAAACTCATTTGCATTATAATATATGAATCTGGAAGTCTTGCAGTTCATTCTCTGGTCTGATCAAATGTCACAGTTCCAATGTTATTTTATCAGCCAGTAGTTGACAGCTCATATTTTTGTTTCCATAAACAATTTCATGAACGGTTATTCAAGACCTAATTCCAGAAAAAATAAATTAATCACTTCTCCTTAAATGGATGTGGAAAGCTGTTTCAGTGGGCTTTCAGCAGGCGCCACAAGCATTGCTTTTAGGAAACAGTAAGGACCAAAGGAATGTGCAATAACCCAGAGGAAGTTTGTTTCCATTTCTGAGTTTTGGAGTCACCAACTTGGGGAAATGTTCTGTTTTGGAAGATTTGTAATTGAACAGACAGACAGGGCTGGGCGTTCTGTTTGTTTCTAATAGCTGTTAGGTCACGGTTGGGCTGTGCCACAGTGATGAGTACAGCTCCATGATCTAACTCTGCAACAAATTACAACCCAGTTTGGTGCCTGCTTTCTCTCAGGCCCTTTGGGCAGATTCTTGAACACTAATAGCAGTGATCCTGTCTGTGGGTTTGGATTGACTTACTCCTCATTTGTGATGCTCCGGACCTGTGTCCTGCTCTGACCTTTTTCTTGTAAGCTCATCCATGGTCAGGCTGTGAAAATGCAGGGTGACGTGAGGAGTCGGCCAGTGCAGAAAGGAGAAGGAAGCCTGTTCATTTCTGCTGTGCTGACAGGTATTGTTTTAGATCCAAACTGAGATGTTTCTGTTGCTCAGGGGTCACCACCGCTAATGGAGTGTGCAGTGGAGGCTGTGACTGGCCTTTCCCAACACACAGTCCCAGAAACACCTGCAGTATAGGGAAATACACTGATGAGAGAGCAGGTGAGCCCCCAGGCCAGGGCTGCACAGCAGCCTCCAGCTGTGGCTGCAGGAACATGAGGACCTGATGTTGCAATGGCATCCGCACTCCAATTTGGCCAGACAAATGCTGACATTTTCCACACATGTGATCTGCTGCTGCCTTCTGCTTTAGCTTTCATTCAGGAATGCTAGCTGTGGTCAGGCTGTGTGTATTTAGGGACACAAATAAACTGCTGCTGACTGAAATACACCATTCCCATGACTGAGCCTGGCACTAACCTCTCCAAGGGTAAAGGCAGATGTGCTTATACAGTAAAATAAAACCTTCCTAGTCTAAGCATCATTTCCTTATGCGTTTTTTTTTTTTTTAAATGTGCAATCTTATGGAGAAGCTAAACCCGGAAGGAGAGCTGATAAAAACTAGAAACAAGCAATCAACTAGTTGTATAAAGATTCTGATATTAGAACTCATACAAAGCAAAGTTGATCTAGAGGCCCAACCCTTGCTCTACCCAAACAACTCCTTCATGGTGAGCCAAGCTTCTCTTCCTAAAGCTGCTACTATTGCCTGTGTTCTAAGCACCAAGCTGATGTTCTGGGAAATGCCACAGCTTAAAGATAATCTGAAAAAGAAAGACTGGAAAAGGGGGCATGGGCTGTGCCTTTCCTTTTTAGATGCAACTGTAGCAGAGCCGCATTCACAGCATTGGCTGATCAGGGTGGCAAAGCAAGGTCAGAATGTTGCTGCCCTTCCTTTCTTTCCCACCACTTTCCTTCCTGCTGCCCTTTCCTTGCCTGGGTCACTTTGTGCTTTGTGTGTGGCAACCAAATGAACCAAGCTAAAGCTGATCTAGAAGAGACAACCTGTGCCCTATGTAAGATGAGTCTTTTTGGATGTAGAGCTTGGCCTTGTACTTAAGCACCAGGTAGGAAATGCACAGTTAGCACTAGCTTCCCCTGAAGAGCTGCTGTGCTTCTATGAGATTACTGGCTACTGCAGCCAGCTGGCCATCATAGCAGCTGCTGCTGCCATTGGCTGTGCTCAGACCTTTCCTATTTCTTGTGAAATTGCAGGGAGAGGCACATGCAGAACAGTGGTGCACAGCCATGGTGTGCCTTGGGCAGCTCTTCTCTTCCTGCTCCCGTGCCAACCTCAGCATCATTTTGTACCCCAGAGCATTCGTGCTACCTCATGCAGCCTTTGCTTGGTACGATTTGGAGATCATCCAAAGAATTTGCTGGATTCTGAATTAAAAAATCAAGCGTGAAGACAGCACTGTTTTGGTTTTTGTTGTGTTTTTTTAAGAATACCTGATCCCATGCTGACGGTGTGCAGCTTGCTGCACTCTTACCAATCCCCATTCTGAGCTATTTTTAGTGGGGTTTGTTGTGTTCCTGCAGTGCTACTGGCAGGAGGAGGGGGCCCATAAGCTTCTCGAAGGAGAGCTGTTTGTACGGAACAAGTAGGAGCTCCTGTTTATAGAGGCAAAAACAAATACATAAAAAAAAATCCGGAAAGATGGGTTCATGGCTGTTTTCCAGTGAGAAAAGCAAGTCAAAACAACGAGCACCATTTGTTTTTGCTTTTCCCTGGCAAGCTTCCTTCAGCTGACTATTGCATGGTCTGTTCAGGGTGAAGAGACAAGGAAAAAAAAAAAAGCAAAGCAGTAGCTCTGGCTTCTCTCTGGCCTTCTGCTGCAGTCCCAGGGCAGAGCTTGTGGGGGTTTAATGCTGCAGCTGTCATGTAGGGTAACTTAAACCTCAGCTCCAGAGGAAAACATAGGGCGGGGGAACAGTTCGGGGGGGGGGGGGG